CTCCTCCTCAACCGCGAGTGTCGGATGGCAGTGTTCCCTGCCGGACCTCAACCGCCAGCTCTGGATGGCAGTGTTCCCCGCCGGACCTCAACCGCGAGCTTCGGCTGGCAGTGTTCCCCGCCGGACCTCAACCGCGAGTCAGAAGAAATGCCAAATAGAACGCCAGAAAGAATGTCAGAAGATATGCCAGAAAGAGTGTCAGAAGATGTGCCAGAAAGAATGTCAGAAGATATGGCAGATCGAATTGATTGATATCAATCATGGAATCATGTTGTTGTTTGTTTCAAGCTGCGGATGTTCAACGTTGCAAGCCAGTACTTTGTCCTTGACATATGAGTGTCACTTTGAGCAAGGGAGACCCTCTGGCCCTGGCCGGGTAGACTGGTCTGTTCTCCTTCTTCCAGGGGTCTTTGGGGTGTGTCACTATTTTAGTTGTTAATCATGTATATATTTCAGATATTTTTTAGTTGATATTCATTAGGGATGGATCCAGATGTTTTCTCATGAGGTATTTGGTCCTCCATGGTTCATGCTTATGCAAATGCATGTCCAATCACAGCTTAGACTGAGACAGCTTGCTCAACAAAAACAGCTTGTTTTCCGGATCTTTTTCCGTGCTCAACCAAGACAGTTTGCCGCCCTTGAAGTCTTGCAATCCAAGGAGCCTCCTCAACTCAAGGATTTGTGCAGCAACACGCAATGCCTCATGGCAATCATTGTTTGGATGGTTGGTGGCCCACTCTCGCAAGATGATAGCACCAGTGTCCTTGATCGCTTTTGGCAGGGTTGCCTCCAAGAGTTTGTGCAGACAAATGGGCCAACATGGGACCTATCACGTTGTTGTCACGTGGTCAATTCGTCTTTGTGGAATCGATTATCCTTCTCATGGTCACTACGGTCCAACTACCTACCAGGGGCACTTGCATGCTTGGTATGAGGTGTACATATGGCCACTCGTGCACGGTCGTTTATGGCTATTCACACGTCACCAAACACCAATGGTTGCTTCAGAAACACCATGAACATCCCAATCCTTTACAGAGATCCACATCCACGTGTTTTTCCTTGCGGCTGGAGGGCTGGCCACCAGAGATTCGCTTGGTGTAACCCTCAAACACTCCATGCATCGTATAAGTTGACCCAGGGTCCATGGAAGTATGTTTTCCATACATCGAGTGTCAAGGTGTATATTAATATATTATATATATCCACCTTTAGGTACACAAATTTCAGACTCCAAATTGTGGTTGAAAGAAACTTTAAGTGTTGAGAAATTGCGTCTCAAAGTACCTCGGAAAATGGGTACAGGGTCATGTCCCATTTTCGAGGTACTTGAAGTCAAGTCCGCCTCTATAAGTGGACTGTCAACTCAGTCGACTCCCACGACTCTGTCGCAGCTAGATCAGTCGACTCCAGTCATGACTAGGAATCCAATCGTATACCTTCTCCTCAGGGTTCAGTACGCCAACGGACCCGACGTTTCGGCACCGAAAACATGTCGAAGAGTAGTGTTCTTCACACATCACCACCAGATCGACGACGCTTCCGAACCCTTCGCGCTCGGTCCCAACGCCCTGCCCGGCTCGAGGCTTGGTCGCCGAGTGGGCGCCGTCGCGCGCGGGCGCGGGCGCGGGCGCTTCGGATCGCCGGGAAGCCTTCAAGGCGGCGCGCGACGCCTGGCGGGGACGGAGGTGTCGGTCACCTCCGGATGTGGACGTGGACGTCGGGAGGACGTCGACAGCCATGTTAAGAAATAACAGCAGAAACAAACAGTTCGCACGGTAGGATCACACCAATTCTATCGAATTCTCAACCTAGGCACCCCAGGCACTGAACTTTTTAATGTCTATGGGTGCATATGGGGATGATTGGGGCGGCCTCAAACCCTTGGCCTCCTTCACCACTTTGCCCCCCTTTTTTCCCGTCACCCCACGTTGACCACCGTTGTTCAGACCACGTTGACCCCGGAGACGATACGACCGAGGTCCTGTTGACGCTGCGGCAACTGCACCGCGAGCTCTCGGGGCGCGACGCGGCGCCGAGGGCCTTCGAGCCGCCGCCGCGCGCGGGCGGGTTGATCGAGTCCGCCTTGGCGCCCTTAGGTGCGGAGTACGGATGTGAAGGGACGGAGGTGGTGAGGAAAGGGTTTCGTCAGTGAGGGGAGGTCGAAGTTGCGTTTTCGTGTGGGCGTTCACAAAGGCACCAGTGCATCCAGTCACGAGGGGTGAGATGTGGAGCCGGTGGGAGGTGTGTGAGGTGTGTGTGTTTCGGTGGTGATTCAGGCTGCGAAAGCTAGAGCATCCATGGGATTGGAATGAATCTTCCGGGCCCCTGACAAGAAGGACGTTTGAGGCACCAAAACACCACCGCCTGGACTTGGGACTGGGATGGCCTCCATAGATGACATTCGAGGTTTCGGAGCGCAGATGTTTACAATCTGTTGATGTGTGTTTCATGGTTTTCTGGGACGGTCAAGAGGGTGAGTCTGGTGGAATTGAAGCATGATCAGTTGCTCCTTATTCTCAACGGCACCTTTTTTTAATGCAACAGGCGGTTTAGAAGGATGTTGGGGGTGTATTTACCTATATTTTCAGTCTATTACCTGCAACAGTTGATCGTGCAAGAACATCAGCTTTTTTGGAACCAACAGGCCTGCAACTGAACCATCATGATCTACGGGGGCAGTGGGATAGACCCAACCTATCCCAAACACTCCATGTATGCCATATATACCTACATTGACACCTCAAACCACCCCAACTGATCGGCATACATGGCAGTCTCATTAGTCGTGTCTGGCGTATACTATCCCGACAGCATCTCCATTTCCGACATCTTCGGAGTCGGCACAAGTTGCTTGGCTCGGGCCAGGAGACTTGGATTCCAGGTCGGTCTTCCAACCCGTTTCACCTTGCGTTTGGGATCCAGTACCGAACCGTTTCGTTTCGGTGGGACCGGGGCCCGGGTGCTAGCCACTCGGGTCCAGTCATACCGAACCTGAGGAGGTAACCTCCTGGAGCCCTAGGGTTGGTATAGTCCATTCTGTTCATTTTCCGTGGGAAAAAACACGGTTTGCCGGGTGCCATGACCCACAGTGATGAGACGTACTCCAAAGCTATTGGACGCCTATTGGGTCGGGTCATGGTGGAGGTATCAAGGGGACACTGGATGACTGCTTCTCAGCTTTGCAGTCTTAAGGTGTGGAATCACCCCTGGAGATACCAGAAGAGGAGTTCCATGCAGCTGACGCTTGGATAACTGTATGTGCAAACTGGGCAGTTGGAAGGAGCGAGTGTTTTTTGGCCAGAAGGGGCATGGAAGATGATTGTTTGTTGCCAGGGCTGCTACATGATGTTCTCAGGGAAAGCATCTCTGACATTTTACAGGGTCGGGTTATTCCTCCTTTGACAGGTCAATGGCTGAGAGCTGGGCACGTTCTTGTATCAAGGGACAGGAAGAAACCTGTGGATCAGAGGGCTTGAAGGGCTTGATAGTGTCAATCAAAAAGGATATGTTGTTGTTTTCGTTTAAACCTGGCCTTTGCGTGTAAAAGTGTACCGAAATGATTCGAAGCCTCTGAAGATCTGTGATTGTTTGTGTGAAAAACAGGATGTGTTTTGCTTTGTTTTTTGTATTGTTTGGCTTGTCGATTTGTCATTGGACAACCTGTCAATGTTTCATTGAAAAGCAAGCTTGTCCCTTGCATTTAGCCCAAACCTCAAGACCAAAGGTTCAATTTGTTTCTACCTCACGATACTTTGCACATGTGCATCTTCATGTATAATGTTTTGTTCGTAGGAAGCGGGTCATCCTTATTTATACAATTCAACATTTCCAGAAAATCCAGATCACAGTTGATTGTTGTTTATTCACAAAAAAAACTGGGTGTTGGGTCCATAATAAGACCTCACGATCAAGATTTATAAAATTCCGCTCCAAAAATGCACAAAAAGGCTCCAGACAGCAACAATGACTTACATTCGTACAACATTCATACGGACACATGAAAGCAAATGAAAACAACATGTAAGCAAATCAAAGCCAAATGAAAGCAAGTGAAAGCAGGACGTAGGCAAATGAAAGCAGAATGAAAGCAACATACAAAGAACATCCCAAAGCTTTCAACTTGCAAAACCATTTGCATCTGCTTTCATTTGGTTTCATTATGCTTTCATGTTGCTTTCGTTTACAAGAGAATGGTTACAAAGAGAAAGTGACTCCAAACCAAAGCAAGCCAGCCAGGAACCACACTATAGGGAGAGGGTCTATAATCATCAATTGTGGACCTCCTCCTATTGTGGATCCTGGGCACTTGTAAAAGGTACTCTTTGCAAGCTTCATGGAATCTACTCCCACCTGTGTGACTTTATATTACACCATCTTGTTTACCGTGATGGTCCAAGCAGAAGGCAATCAAATTCCCCAACAGAGAGACTTTCAATCTTGTGGACTGCCTTGCAAAAGGTGTATTTGTATGGTGAATTGAAGCCACCCACTAGGGTGACAAAATTGAATTTTGAGGAATATGAAGACGCGATCCACACGATGCAAACGGCCCACATGCTATGAGTGATTGGTGACCTTCTGGTTTCACAGGCATGTGCTCTTCTTTCAGCGGTCACATAGCTGCCCGGTGACGATTAATAGCCGCATGATTGGGGACTTATGAGGCCTGTGCAGCATGTTCCCCTTGTTGTTCTACTGATGCCGTGATGCATGAATCATGTTGCCATTGTTCTGCCAATGTTTGTCCTGAGGCAGCATGCCAGCTACTTTCATGCAAGAGCCGCGTGAGCCAGAGGAATGCATCGCACGGCTACCCAGAGCTAACGCGCCAGGTAGAATCCAGCGCCACCGTTCTTTCTTGTTTAGCTTACCCAGGCGTGCGGGCGCTGCGTGTGGTATCTGGGCCTTGATCCAGACGCGGAGCCTCTTCATGTGCCAACTGCTCAGCAAGTGGCGCATCTTGCGATTGTGAATATCACCGCGCGTTCCAAACTTGGGTGGCGCCATGGTGAATAGTGTGCGCGCCGATGCTACTACCATCTCCTGCACGTGGACGACTTGCTCGGGGATGAGGATGATGTCCGCGCCTAAGTCTCTTTTAGGTCAGGATTTCCAGACCTCTGGTCTCAGTCATCCACAGAGCCCGGCGACGCCCTGTTCTTGGCACAAATCCAATTGAAAACCTGATACATTAAAGGAAACTCATCCTTTCCAAAGATGAAGATGGGGCGTCGCAGTGGTCCATGGAAGTCCACTTCCCGCGCACCGCTCAGCACTAAAATAAACAAACCAATTCCAATCTGACATTTGCCGGCGTTTGTCACAGCTCGTGCTCCAACAATGCACAGGCACTCACTAGCCCAAGGCTGCTAGGTTCACAGCCTCTGCTGCACTTCAACATTCAGTCTTTCACTGACTCAACCCTGTGGCCTGCTTGTTCGAGTTGCGCGTCCAAGGCCGCCACTTGGATATACCCAAGTGGATAACGAGGGCTCCACCATTGTGTAACTTGGCGGGGTGTGGGCGTGCGCGCCTCAATTTTGGCCCGTTGCAATTGTCAGTGCATGCGCGCATTCCCTGCGAAGGTGCGCGCCCAGGTACAAATTCTGACTGCTCCAGAATCATCGACGCAGCGAGCAGGAATGCAAAAGCTGCTGCGTCAGGGATGCTTACAAAACGGAAAACAACAATGCAACCTGCAGCCAGGCCAGTTTTACAATGAAAAGATTAGTCGAGAGATTAGTCAAGCTAATGTTGACCTATGATCAATAAAGGGACCCGGAATAAAGTTAGCCAAGCTGCGCCCTGATTATAAAGGGACCCGAAATAAAGTTAGCACTTTTATTTTTTTATTGTTTTATCTATATTTAATATTTTGTATTTTCTCTTTTATGTTTAAAAATATTTACTGCTTCAAAAATATATCTTAAAACATATGCTTTTATTATTGTTTTATTGTGTTTTGTGTTTATTGTTTTTGTTATTCTTGTTTAAACTAATAATTGTGTTTATTTTAATTTGTACATTTAGTTTTTAGATTGATGTCTTTATATCTTATAGTTTTTGAAGTAAACTATTTGACAAACCCTAAACAAAATTTACCCTACATAGAGCTAAGGAATTTTCCTGAAGCCACCAAACCCTAAATAAAGTTTACCCTAAATAGAGCTAAAGAGTTTTGTTCATTCAATTACAGTCCTCATTGAATTAATTGCAACTCAATTGGAGTTCAATTCAAATTCAATTCCAATTCATGCCCAATTGACTTCTAGTTTGAATTGTTCACCAAACCTCAAAACCTTGTGATAAAAGTTCTCTATAAAACCACTATTAAAACACAATTGAAAATTGATCAAAGCCATTCTGGAAAGGGTTCTCCCCATGAAGCCATCAAAACCTAAATAAAGTTTACGCTAAATAAACCTATTGGATTTTCATGAAGCCACCAAACCCTAAATGAAGCTAATGGATTTTCATGAAGCCACTAAACCCTAAATAAAGTTTACCCTAAATAAAGCAAAAGAATTTGGTTTACTGACAAATATGGCTTTATCCAATTTCAATTGACTTGGAATTTAAAATCAATTCAGATGCAATTGAATTTAAATTCAAATTCAATTCAAAATTCAATTCAATATTTAAATTCAATTTAAATTCAAACATTCCAAATTCAAATTCAATTCAAAATTCAAATTCAAATTCAATTCAAAACTCAATTGAGTCTAAATTCAATTTAAATTCAATCAATCTAAATTCAATTCCAATTGGGTTTAAGCTTAATTCCTATTCAGTTCCAATTCAATGGAATTTAAATTCAAACTCAATTCCAATTGAATTTAAATTCATTCCAATTGAATTTAAATTCAATTTCAAATTCAACTCATTTCCAAATTGAATACTAATTCACCTTTATTTTAATGTTTGTTTTAGTAAGGAATCATTTCATTTTAATTTGTAATTCTTTCTTGGAACCTGATTTGACAGTACATTCATGAATCAGAATTCAAAATGACATTATTAAACGTAAGCAGAAAGGGTCGAAGTCGCAACGCTCTGCAACTTGTCGCAGACGGCTTGAATTATACTTGCGCCAGTATACTTCTGAACAAGCGCTGATTGTGTTTCCTCACCCTGCTTCCCTCTCAGCAATCATGGCTGCTTCTTTTTGGCTGCATTCTGAATGCGTGGCTGATGCGCTCCAGTTCTTAGACGCTCCATCGAGGGTCTGATGCGCGCAGATCTCCAAAAGTTTCTTGCATGGCCCTGCTGGGCTGCTGGTTGAGTGCAATGCCGCAAAGCGCTTGGCATGCCCTATGGGCTGCGCAAAGCAATTTCTGCCAACAAGGGCCATACTGTCAGAATCCTCACGATATCTGTGGGAGCTTGTGGCTAGACCTACTTTGGGTGGATCTTGACGGTCGCGTGTTGGCCTGCCTGTGCGTGGAAGGAGATGTGCTGGCGGAAGTCTACATCTTGGGCTGGTGTGGCTGCCGTGCTTTTTCACCGGCACGGAAAGGGCATTGTTTCTTCGAAAGGGCATTGGACCTTGGAAAGGGCATTGTTTCTTGGAAAGGGCATTGTGTTCTTGGAAAAGGCATTGTTTCTTGGAAAGGGCATTGTTTCTTCGAAAGGGCATGGGCCCTTGGAAAGGGGGTGTTTGACGATCAATGCAAAATGAAAGCAAAATGAAAGCAAATGAAATGAACTCCTGAGGAGACCACTATTGCGGCTACCCGGATTTAAAGCCATCCTGGCCAGAACCCCCTCACAGATCAATCAAGACGTATTGGGCTCCAGAAAGAGGTGATGATGGTGCACGGTGGCGGCGGATAATATGGTGGTGATGGTGGTGGTGATGGTGATGGTGATGGTGGTGGTGATGTGATCGTCGTGATGGTGGTGATCATGGTGGTGGTGATGGTGGCCGTGGATATTGTGGTGGTGGTGATGATGATGGTTGTGGTGATGGTGATGATGATGATGTGCGCGTGATGGTGATGATGTGATGATGGTGGTGGTAGTGGTGGTGGCCTTCGGATGCCACTGCCCCTGCCGCTGTCCGGATGGTAATCAACAAGGTGTTGGCCTCAGGCCACCTGAGCTCGACGTTGCGAAGCAGGCAGGGTTTCACCATCACCACTACCGCCACCACCACTATCACCGCCATTGCCACCATTATCACCACCAACAATCACCACCATGAGCACCACCATCTCCATCTTCATCACCCTCACCATCTTCATCACCACCACCATTGCCATCACCACCATCACCCTCTGGAACCCAATGCGTCTAGATCTCTAGACCTCTAGCCCTTAGACCTTTAGGCACGCTGTTTGGTCTCTTGCCTATAGATATGTATGATATGTTTTTTGAGAGGTTGACCCACCCCCAAGTATTACGAATCTAACATTATATATGTGCAGACCTGGCGCCTATTCAACCACAATCACATGTTTTCTCCAGTGTTGGGACGTCTGAGGAGGGAAGCTCCTTCAAGCTTGAACGGATGGATCGAATTGTGTATCTTGGATGAATTCCTGGATCTAGATGCAGATGTCTTTGTCATCAGCGAAGCCAACGAACAGGTGCATTCTGAGTTGGAAGATCCAGGTTGCACCTTCCAATCGGTCTCAAATGGAATACATTTTTATATAGATCTCGAATTTGACACCCCTTATGCCTATGAATGAAGGTCCAAACAGTGCTATCCTCAGAACCCGTTTGTTCCGAGTCAACCACCCCTAGCCTGATCGTTCTGGCTATGCCAGTCGCAAACAGGTTGTGTTTTTAGTTTTTGAGCCCCGGGAGAGTGATTTTTTTCCAAGACCATCCATGCAGGATATCGTAGATTAGGGCAGGGTCATCAATGGGTTACCTGGAGTCGCCCCGTTCGTACCTCAGAAAATGGATAGATCGATCTGTTTTTGCGGTTCGGGTCATCTTCCAACGACGTCGGGTCAGGGTAAATGGTACACGGATGCGATCATTCCTGTCTCGATATTCTGGGCTCAACTCCAGCCCAAACAAGGGCGAACTGGCCGAAAATTCTGGTTGGTCAAGCGTTTGGTTTGAGGTGATGATGTGTTTTCCCAGACTCTTCATGTAATGGATGGCATACCGATCAGGCTAGGGGTGGTTCACGGTGCAGTGAAATCTGTCCAATATACATGGGTCGTGATGTTTGGGTTTCGGAATATTGTTCTGATATGTTCTGATTTAAGACCTCCTTGTCACATCATCCACTTTGACAGCCGACAACTACACACCCTGATAAAATCAAGGTTGCGTGGATGGCATGGCTGCGAAAGGATGACCATTTTCGACCAAACTGGTGGTGGTTTTCCACGTAACCTTGATTTCAGGGAGTGTAATGTATAGCCATGATTTCAAGGAGGGTAATGTAGACTCTTGATTAATCTAGCAAAACGTTATTTTCAGCATGGTTCACTGATAAGTCTCTTTTAGGAAGCACAATGTACCTTTAAAACAAACATCAAACACTTCCACCACTTCCACTTTGATTGAAAGACCTTTTCAATATATATGGGCTACGTTTTTATACGTCCAGAGTACCCAACACCTGACCCAACACCAAAGCCGCCCCGGGTCCACGCCGACCGGTCCACGCCGGAAGGTGCGGCGTCGTCACTCCTGAAGGGCGACACTCCAGCGGCGCGGCTGGTCCACGGGCCGGTTTCGGCTTTCCCAAACCCAAACACTCCATGGGACTGCCATAGGACTGCCGATCAGTTGGGGTGGTGCCAGAGGGGTCAATTGATCGGCATATATGACAGACATGGAGTGTCTGGGAAATGCTGGAAAGACCGGTGCTTTGGGGGTGAGTGGACCGGTGTTGAGATAGCACTCACACTGGGTTTCTGGTGGAACCGGTGAATCCTTCTGGAAGCAGCCCTTTTGGAGATGACCGGACATAACCCCTGTGGGTTTGGTTCGGAACATGGGTGGTTTGACCGCATTGGGCTGTTCCCTCCCTAGGTAGTCAGTCGTACCTTCTCAGAAGGTGGGACTGGGGTGGGTGCCAGGAGGGTCCAGGTGCCTTCTGAGAAGGTACTTGGATCCCTAGGGATATATATATATAATATACATCTATGGCCCCGAAAACATCTGAACAAACCCTGGTGCCAGGCCCTTGGGCCCTTGGGCCCTTGGCAAGCCTGGCCTACTTCCAAACCTCGCTTCGGTGGGACGCCAAAAGGGTCAGTCCCCCTCTGAGGTGCTGGGAGCCCGAACGGGTTAAGGTCTTCTGTGACCCAGCGTAAGATAGTCCTCAAAGCTGAGTATTTTTGGTATGCCTCAATCTGGTTCAACTAGATCGAAAAAAATGGGATTGAAGAGATGTTTTGGGGGGTATATATTTTTAGGATGTTAATATATGTATATATACTCTCCCTTGAACTAACATGGTTACGTGGATGGCACCACCTGTTTGGTTCGTGGATTTCATGGTCTTCCGAACTCGGGGTCATTCTCCACGTAACCATGGGGCCGTTCCAGGGAGTGTAGATGTTACCAGGAGTCACATGGAGGTGGTAAAACCTTCGTCCCATTGCCGATGTGACCGGGGCATCGACTCGACCTAACCTCCAAACTCGGAACTGGCACCTCAAGCTCTGTGACTGCTGGTATATACATATCCCATACACGACCAATGGGACTGCCATAGGACTGCCGCCCCAGACTGACCCCCCTGGCACCACCACCCCTGGCCGTTTCTCGGCAGTCCTATGGTAGTCCCATTGGGAGCGTTTGGGTATTCCATCCCATGGATTGTTGGGGGACTTGTTTTGGAAAATGGATCTTGTGGGATGAACATTCCACAGCAATGTGAAACACACACACACGTTCTGGGGACAACAAGACCATTCTTTGCAGAGAACATGGGACATGTTTGCGGTGGTGGAAGTTCCTGGATCTGTGATTCAAGCGACATGTTTGACAACACCGCGCTATATAGATACATGATGCATCATGACAACGAAGAACGATTTTCAACATTTATTTCACACAGGTGCTTTAGGTTTTTGGGCATTTTGGGGCTTAAGGTTCAGGGATTCCGCTCCTTTGCATTTGGATACAACATGAAACAACCAAAACGATTCAGATTCCCTAGCCCGGTCTCAAATATTTTAGTGACTAACAGAGACGAGCTGGTGGGGTCCTTCGGAAGGTAAGGAGCTGGTTTGGTCAAAGCAGTCGTCCTAATGACTGCTGGATTCAAACCAAGAGAAAACAATCAATCGGTTGAATCTGAGGGGTGTTCGTGTCAGCCGTTGCCTGTGGGGCAAAAGAACCTCAGGACAAAGCGCCAGATGATCCAGTTTTTTGATCCCATGAGGTGTTACGATGTATGCCAACAAAAAACTGTTTTGAGTGTGTTTGTTTGTTGTGCATGAAGGTAGACTCCAGATCATGGTTCAAGTACAGACAATGGTCGAGCCGGAGCTAGTCAGTACATCCTGTGATGGATGTAACGTTTTTTTCTTGAGTATAGAAGTCACTATGGTCTATTCTCCAATCTCGATGGAATCGAGCTTAGGTTTGCATTTCTTTGGAACGTTGTAAAACCTTCACTTTGAGCGATTGGTCTCCATGGTCACTGATGAGCTTCGTTGAGAGTTTGCAAGGGTCCTTTTTTTGAGCGGCATAGAAGAAAACAAGCTGCGCAGAACATGTGCTGTGCATCCATTGCCGAGGATACATGATCCTGCACAAATATTTGCTGCTCTTGGTGCAACCTGATGTGGTACAGCCTGGGTGGGCCGTGGTGAAGACCCTCTTGCCCGTCAGCAACTGGGACCAAGCGTACGGACGGTGGTGCATCTTGTACAAGGTCGTCGGACGGTTGTGCCTTGAGGTTTTTGTGTAGATTTTGTTTCGAAATAGGAGCGATTTTCACTAGGGGTTCTATCACAAATGAGGACAGTTGCCGGGGTGGCATTGCTCCTGCTCCATAGCTATGTGTCTTTTTTCAGCTACAGTATCCCTAGGGCTCCAAGTACCTCCTCAGAAGGTATCTGGACCCTCTAAACCCACCCTAAACACCTTCTCAGAAGGTACGACTGGAGCCCTAGGGTATGTGTCTTTTTCGACGTTTCTGAGGAGCCCAAAGGCCCAGTGAGTGAAGACAAGTTCTTGGTTCGGTACGGGGACCCTCCAAACCTGCCTACACAACAGTGTCGAACACATCACCGTACCTGAGAAGGTACGACTGGATCCCTAGGGGATGTGCATTTCGTTGCCATTATTGTCAATCTGAGTCCCATCCAGGGGCCGTGGATGTGACATTCTGCGTACCCTGAATTCCGACTTTTTGATTCTGCTGGGCTCATTGCACCACCTTCTCCACCTGCCCCACATGCCCAGACCCTGGGACCCTCGCCCAGACCCACCCACCGCGGTCTTCCTCAACCTCGCCCAGACCCACCCACCGCGCTGTTCCGGCGCGTCCGTTCTGCGCTGTTGTTGCGTCCAACGACCTTCGAACTCCAAGCACCAAACCCTAAACCCTAAACCCTAAACCCTATTCAAAACCCAAAACGGACGGCACTTCGTCTCAGCCCCCCCAGGGCGTGTCGAACCTCATCTCGAAGCCGATCCCCGGCTGCTCGGGCTCCGCTGGACCGAGGCGCGGTTCGGTGAAACGGCGAAACGGTGGGGCGGAAGCAGGGGGGGGAAGTCCATCTTCACCACCTGGGGTGTTTTTGCCACCATGTTTTTGCTTACTGTATATATTTTCGTAGGGCTCCAGTCGTACTTTCTAAGAAGGTGGGACTGGGGTAGGTGCCAGGAGGGTCCAAATACCATCTGAGGAGGTACTTGGAGCCCTAGGGTTTATATTTTAATAGGGGATGTTTAGTATTTTCCCCGTGCCTGGATTAATCCGCAAACCTGGGGAAGAGTTTCTATGTGTTTCTCAGCCTCCGTTCACGGAGCTGCAAATCCAAGACCCGAACGGGAGCTGTGAGCAGACCAGAAGTTCCATGTAACCCTAAGGTCCAGGACCATCCGAATCGGATGTCCTGCCAGACCCCCCGTTCGACCAGTCGCTGGAAGTACGTACTCACCTCCGTTCGACCATCCTCAGTACGGAGGTACCTGGACCCGAACTGGGTAAGTGTCTTTTCCATCCTTTTTCTATACCCAGGGAGCACGACTGAGGCTTGGTACGACTTGGGGGGGGAGCAGCTGCCTGAACTCCTGAGGTTTTGAAGGTTTGGTTGGGTCATTGGAGCTTCCTGAGGCTGGGGCTCCAATGACCAAGCCAGGAGTTCATTTTGCCTTCAACAAGTTCCCTGAAGCAACAACCCGTTCCCTGAAGTGTTCATATGCCAGTCCTACTGTTGACCCACCGTATCAGTCGACCCAGTAAAGCCTTGGTCTTTGACCTTCCTTTTCGTCGTCTTTTTGGTATTCACCTCCCTTCCAGGTCCGATGAAAAGAATCCAAACCAAGCAGCTGGGACGTTGAGTCTTTTCGCTTCTCAAATGGCAAAAACCAGAGGCGCCGTTTTCTCGAACCTCGAACCCGGGCGGTGCGCCTTGACGAGCTCGCGTTCGCTCGGCGCCAGGACGGTGAGTCCTTCCTGCTGACCCTGACCTTTGAGGAGCGACGGAACCGCACCAATGACCGGTCTCGGATCCATGGTATGACCGGTATGACTCGGTATGACCCGTATGACCGGTGCGGTCCTCCCCCCCCACCCCAATGGTAGTCCCAATGGTAGTCCGGTCATAGTGGCTGACTTGATGGATCGTCTGGGGGAGATACCCTCGAGGATCGCTTACTTTGATGTTCCTCTTTCTTTTGAGGACGTCTTCCGCCACGGGGTTTTCCTGCTCGGGGTGCATAGGATCGATGGCGGGGGTGTACGGCACAGCACGTCCTGCAAGGGAATGAAAGAAGCCACTGGCACAGCCACTAGTCGTGTGTTTGGACAGTGGAGGTTGGCAGCTGGCTTCATTTGAGCGCTGCTTTCCTCAAATGCTTGCGGTTCGGCATTAAGCCCTGGGTAGACTCTACCCAGCTTGGCCAGGCACGTTTCTTTCCACATGCTTTTTGCACCCACCTTCAGGCACAAAAGAGCCGCTTCCACAATGGAAACGACCCATTTTTAAACAGACACGAGTCAGTACACGTGTCACACCAGTGCGCTGTCCCAGTGCGCCAGCCACTGGAGGCGTGGCTGGAGGCGGTGGTATACCTGGACCAGGTTCATTCTACAACGGCCCGGTGATGGGCGCAGTGGAAGCAGCTGTGGAGCCACAAGGGGAAAGCCTTCACGCACAAATTTTCGGTGCACATGTCAAGGCAGCGGGGGAGGTGGGCGAAGCTCTCAAGCCAGAGACTGTCAAGGCAGCATGGGCTCAGTGTGGCTTTAGCGCAAACGAAAAGTTTAACGACGACAAGATCTTCATCCAGCGAAGAGAAGAAATCTTCCAGCGCATGCGTGATGCCCCTGACACACCAGCTACATTTAAGGTTTTTACCATGGTCCAGCAGATATGGTGTTTGGATTGGAGTGGACTGCAGGTCTTGCTCCGGTTGCGGGGAAGAGAACCCTGACTACGACAAGGAGATAGCTTCTTTGTTGCTCCAAGGTCATCGAGCAGGCTGGACGAAACCCGATCTTGAGTGTGAACCTCCAGCAGAACGCTGACCACAGTCGCCTCCTCGATCAGCGTGATTTGATGCAAGATTTGTGACGAAGATCTGATGCCGATGCTTCCTCCTCCAATGCTGTGGCTCCTGCCACTGTTCCTGTCGCAGACACTGTAGAGCTGCCCCAACCTCTCAACGACCAAGAGACAAGAAGGAAGACGACTTGGACTCGCCAGAAGAGGTTGTGGAATACCTCATTGCCTTGGGGTGACAGAAGGCAAAACATGTTGAGGGCACCAAACGATGAAAGCAAGGGCTTCGAAGTCGGAGCCCCTGTCATCTAGTGCATAAAAACTTCCTACAGAGAAAGGCATTGATAAAGAAGGAGGGTCGCATCAAGTTCTTGAAATACTGAGAGAACAAGGGTCATGCAAGTGAACATCAGGTGTGCGTGGAAAACAGAGAGACGTCAGGGTGCGTGTACAGGGAGATTATTCCTAAATGTTGGTTGCAAGTTGCAAATCCCTAGGGCTCCAACCATATTCTCAGAAGGTGGTTAGGCCCCCTAAACCCACCCCAACCAGCTTCTCTGGAGGCAGGGCAGGAGCCCTAGGGAATATGAAGAGCAACATTGCGTCTACAGGGCGAGTCCACAGGAAAATCGAGCTCGGAACTTGAGTGAAAAGTCTCAGTTTTATGTTGTGTTTGTACTGGGTGACCCTGCAATCAGGTACCGTATTGCTACATACACAGTGAAACTCATCAGCGCAGCGACGATTTTTGATCACCTTTTCCTTTGAACATAATGCTAAATTGTTGATAGTTTATTTGACCCATGCCATTGCAACTGCACTATGCCTCCCTTGCGCAGCGGAGGTCACAAAACTTACAGAAGAATTGTCTCAGACATGCGTGACGTCAACCGACCCCCACAATATTTGCTGCGAAATCTGCTGCAGAAAAAGCAACATTTGGAAAGAAGAGGTGCTGTTTATCCCCCGGGGTCTGGAATGGTGGGTCCCCGCTACAGTAGTTGCTGGTATTGCTGTTTGAGAAAACGGCAAACACCTGGGGGTCAAACTGACCATGGTTCAATTGTTAACGTCCGGTTCCAACGCGATGTCAGCTTATTTCAATTCGCCCGCGCCAATTTCGCAGTGCCTCGGGGCACTCTGACAGGACACCAAGCGCTGTTCCATTGCGGAGTCGCACCTCAAGAAGTGCAGGACCAAGGCCACTTTTGAGCACCAGTGGGGGGCAGCTGTGAAAGGAAGCAGCAGAGGTGAGAAGAAAAACATCGTACGACGATGGATTCCGGCTATTGGTTTCGAAGGAACTGACCATCGAACAAATGGGCCGCATGTTCCCAGAGACTGAGCCGCCCAATGGGCACCCTTGCTGAATTGCTAGCAACGGACATCTTCATCGGGCCAGGTTCGGGGCACCGGACTCGGCTTGCAGATTCTTCTCTTCTGCTCAGTACCACTGATCGCTGTTTTCGCTTCCGCCAGGTGCGAGAGCGGCTGAGCCAGAAAGTCTTGGCCTTTGTCGAGAAGCTTTGTGACTGAGGTGGGTCATGGCACCAAGAGAGGTGTGACCGTAAATAGAACCGGATAACCACATAGTACGGAGATAGCCACCACGAAATCGTACCCTACCCAGTTCGGGTCCAGGTACCTCCGTACTGATGGTCGAACGGAGGTGAGTACGTACTTCCAGAGAATGGTCGTTGCCGGGGGGGGTCTGGCAGGACATCCGAGCAACGGATGGTCCTGGACCGGGCTAGTGACCGCCCTAAGGGTCCAGGACCATCCTGAGGACGTCCTTTGACCCCCCAAGACCATTCTCTGGAAGTACGTACTCACCTCCAAGACCATCCTGAGGAGGTACCTGGACCCTTAGGGCTACCGTAAATAGAACCCTGCAGGCACCAAACGATCGAAGCGGAGGGACCGCTTCGAGGGTCGGACCAGCGACGCAGCGAGGCGTCAGTTCGAAAGCTTTTGGTCGCTCGCGTTGGCCGGTTTGAGCCTCCGGTCCGAAATGAGATCAAATGAGATCAAATGAGCATGGTGATAGGGTAAAGGCGGGGTGTACCGGAAGGAAATACTGGTCCATAAAGAGAAGCCTGGGGTTTTGCTTCGTTATTTGATGATTTTTCCCAGCTGGGTGAATTCTCTGTTGAGGAAGGTGTTGTCTAGTTCTTCCGAGCTCCTGGTCGGCTCGCCGCCCTCTTCTCCGCAGGTGCTCGTCCAAGAGACTGCACGGCCAAAAAGAGTCCGATTCACGCGTCGCGGGAGATCAAAATGTCTTTGGTGTGGAGTTCATCCACATAGCTTCTACGCTGAGACTCGGAGACACCTAGCTATGTTTGTCTTGAAGGGTCCAGTCGTACCTTCTGAGAAGATGTGTGGTGTGTGTGTGTGTGAATCCCTAGGGAAGGACATTCGGACATTCTTCTGTGTTTTGTTTTTCTTCAGAACCACTGTTGAACTGCGTGGCCACACTATAGTTGGGATTCCTTGATTGACCCACCTACATGGATTGATTTGGGGGGGCATGTTCTTGGGGAGTGAAGATTAACTCCTTGTATACAGAGGACTTGACCAGCAGCCTAAGAAACATCATTTTGAGTGCGGCTTGGCTGAGGCAAGAGCCTCTATAGGTTTACAGACGTACTGCAAGTAAAAAGTCCTGAATATACTGTAGATGTTGTTCTAGTTTTTGTTGAGACTCAAGACCAATCCACATGTTGAGCTGATTTTCTAGCAGGGTACTCTTTGGACACCCATACTCTGTCGCACACGGGAGACGGCAGACTGCAGTCTGTCGCTCTACCCGAGCACGAGCTCGCTCGCTACTTCGCTCGTGCTCGCTCGCGCTCGAAGCCCGGATCTTGGGGGACATTGACAGTCAGCGGATGAGTTCTCCGTACAGATCCTAACAGCTGATGAGTTCGGCGTCCTTTTTTTGACTCCCCAAAAAGGAACAGTGCATGCTTTCGCAGCATAGAGTCGGGTTCTTTGGGAACAGTTGAGCTGATTTTCTTCATGCAAGCCTGCTGCAACACTTCAGGTGAGAGTCCATAGTGATCACCCAACAAAGAGAAGGGGATGTTGATAATTGTCCCCACCCCTCTTTGTGGGTTTCCACGTTGATGTTATTGATTCAAGCGCGTGCAACCACCGCCCCCCAATCCCAGTTGCCCAGCAAGCCCAAGCGCTCCACATCTGGCGGATCACCTGCCATGCCGTAGCGAATCAAGCTCAATGGCAGTCAGGTGCTCAGGCAATGCCTTTGCTCAGTCAGGTGTTTGTATGCCTAGCACTTCCAACGGGTGCCCAATGGAGACCTGTAAGTAGGGTAGGGTTGTCCATTGGTGACCCGTTGGAAGCACCTGGTGTGTTTGTTTCTCTCTGAAGAGACTCAAATGGCCAAAATCTTATCTCTCAGTCTCTTGCGTGGAGCGCTACCTGACTCACCCGTATACCTTGGGTTTTGTCGTCCCTGGATGTGAGTCAATGAGGTCGAGTTCATGTAGAGCTTGAGAAGTCAGGATCGAAAGGCTTGCTTTCGAACGCATCGAACGCAGAAGACGGTTGTCCGTCAATGACCCTACGTTCAATCCAATCGAAGCGTCCGTGGTCCGTGAAGAGAGAAAGCTGAACACCTTACTTTGCCTGGTTTCAGTGGACCTTGACCCCTGAATCTAGAGCCCAGACATGACCCCTGTTTTGATAGGAAAGGACTCATAGTCATAGTTTGGGTTGTGTTGTTGGTGGCCCAACATCGAGGTCACGTCGGTCCACGGACTGAAAAGACTCACAGAAACCCCCCTCGCTCCGGCACGAGGCCGTGAGTCCTCAGCATGCGCCTGAGGGGAAATCCGGGGTGGGGTGGTCTAGACATGTCTAGACAGGGCAGAGGCCCTACGCCAGCCTATAGAAGCGTGTGCAGCCGAGGCTTTTCTTCATCTATCATTCATTCCCTATAAGGATCCGTTGTCGTACCAGGCTCTGTGCGCTACGTACAGCTATGTGTCGAAGACATCACCGTACCGAGGTGATGTGGATTCATAGGGAATTTGGTGCCAGTGCCATCTATTCCCCAAACGCGACCAATGGGACTGCCATAGGACTGCCGATCAGGCCAGGGGTGGTGCCAGGGTGGTCAATGTAGGCATATAATGGTAGTCCCATGGAGTGTTTGGGTATTCTGAAACTACTGTAAAAAACATCTCGATTTATACCAGGACACCCGGGCCAGGGGTGTCTATTGATAGCCCCGAAAAGAGGTGATAAGGGGTGTCCATTAACTACCCTGACAGTGGGTCCTAGTATATATAATGATTATAATGGTGGCTTTTGGAGACTTAAAAGTCGCAGGTGGTGACCTGTTGGAAGGTCCTGGTATATTGCATGTGTATGATTCAGGAGCCTCAGTTGGTACAGTTTGTACCACACATGACGTCGAATCCCTGTCATCGCTCAAAACATGTCAGGACTCAGGCTTGTTGTATATCCAGGCTTGTGTGTGAAGACTCAACAGACAAAGATAACACACTCGACTTCCAGCACTCTAGAATCTAGAAAATGGGACATGGCTCTAAGAAGAGCTACTTGTACCAAACTGTGTACCTTTTTGGGGGAGTAATCGAGGGCCACGGCAAGACCCTATATAAGAAAACGAGGTACTCTTGAGTACGAACCAAAAGGATGGTCCAGGAGTTACCAAGAGATGTGCTGCCCAGACGCGACTGGCCGGACCCTCCGTTCAGACGGACCTTCTCACCAATCCTGGTGTTGTTTTGGGACCAGTCGAGCAGGTTTCACGGAGCGTCGTCGCACAGAGACAACCGAGATGTGAGGCGACCGAACAAAACAAAGGAATCTCCACCCTGGTTCTTCAGTTCGTGACCGTACTTGATCACCTGGTTTGAGGATGTTGATTCGGTCACTTCATTAAGCCTCAAGCCTCTCAAGCCGCGTCACTGGATACTCCAAAGTTCGGTCACGTACTGAGAAGGCGGTCGACCTAGCTGTTTGGTACCGTTCTCCAGGCACCTTCCCATTCATTGGCTACATGCTATATACACCCTCTTACAGACGGTACACGGCTCATTTTGGAACCTAGAAACGGCTCATTTTGGAACCTGGCTCATTTTGGAACCCAGACGAAAAGAAAACTCTCCGGGACTGCAGCGTGAGACCAATTTTGCGGCTCATTTTGGAACACGCATCATTCGGTAGTGCTTCGAAGGTAGCATTTGCTAGTGAAAATGAGTGTTTCGTATGAGACTTCCTCCAAAAGTGAGCCACGGAAGTCTCCAGAACGAGCGTATCGTACGAGACTTCCTCCAAAAGTGAGCCGCGGAAGTCTCCAGAACGAGCGTTTTGCGCGAGACTTCCTTCAAAAGTGAGCCGCGGAAGTCTCCAGAACGAGCGTTTTGTACGAGACTTCCTTCAAAAGTGAGCCGCGCAAGTCTAGAGAGAGAGACACAGAGAGAGAGAGAGAGAGAGCGAGCGCGTTTCGCACGAGACTTCTTTCCAAGGGGAGCCGCGGAAGTCTCCAGAACGAGCGTATCGTACGAGACTTCCTCTAAAAGTGAGCCGCGGAAGTCTCCAGAACGAGCGTTTTGTGCCAGACTTCCTTCAAAAGTGAGCCGCGGAAGTCTCCAGAACGAGCGCTTTGTGCAAGACGTCTTTCCAAGGTGAGCCGCGGAAGTCTCCAGAACGAGCGTTTTGTACCACGCATTATATCATATGACACGCACGATCCTCACTCCAGGTCAAACGCGTCAAACGCGATCGACGTTTCACTAGACGTTTCAACACTTGGCACGCGCGATCCTCGTAGAGGGTCATGTTACGTTAGCTCCGGCCGGACCTGCCCGCCGCCGTAAGAGTATAGAAGACACTTATAAAGAAGTGGTTGTCGTAGGTGAGATTAAGTGGGTGTTTTTGGTAGGTGTTTCAACACCTACATATCTACACCTGTATCTCTACACCTGCAAAACCCACAGCTATTAGGGTGTCTTAGGGTCGGATAAGCCTGCGCTTCTTTAGGGTCTCTTTTGGTTTTGCTTCGGGCTTCAGCTTTATGGTTTCTTTGGTCTTAGCTTCGGGCTTCACTTCTTCAGGATGTCTTTGGGTTTGACTCAGGGCTTCACTTCTTGAGGATCTGTTTTGTTGTGCTTAGGGTTTCGCTCCTTTAGGTTTTCTTTTGCTTCTTTAGGATGTTTCTGTGCTGGAATTAGGCCTTCACGTGAGGGCTCCTTTAGGATGTCTTGGGTTTCACTTAGGGCTTCGCTTCTTTAGGGTTGCTGGCTGGTCTGCCATAGGACTTTGCTGTTTTAGGATGTCTTTGGTTGCGACTTAGAGCTTTACTTCTTGAGGGTCTCTTTTGGCCTGCCTTATCGCTTCACTTCTTTAGGATGTCTTTGGCACAAATTCAACAGCATCTCTTGCTCAACATTTTGTGTTTTGTGCACATGGTCGTGGTAATTACGTGCTTTGGCGAAGCTGGGTTTGGTTTTGCTCAGGGCTTTGCTCTTTTAGGGTTTCGTTTGGTTTGCCTTAGGGGCTTGCTTCTTTAAGATGTTTTTGGGTTGGCATTAGGGCTTCAGTGGAGAGGGGCTTAGGGCTTCACTTCTTTAGTCTTTTTTCTTTTGCTTCAGGCTTCACTCCTTTAGGGTTTCATGTGGTTGGGCTTCCGGCTTTGCGTCTCTAGGATGTCTTTGGGTCGAATAAGCCTTTACTTCTTTGGGGTCTCTTTTGGTTTTGCTTCGGGCCTCGCTCCTTTAGGGTTTCTTTGGTCTTAGCTTAGGTCTTCACTTCTTGAGGATGTCTTTGGATTTGACTTAGGCCTTCACGTGAGGGCTCCTTTGGGATGTCTTGGGTTTCACTTAGGGCTTCACTTCTTCAGGGGGGTTGGTTTGCCTCAGGCCTTAGGGCTTTGCTCTTTAGGATGTCTTTCGGTTTCACTGAGGGCTTCAGTTCTTTAGGATGTCTGTGGGTTTGACTCAAGGCTTCACTTCTTTAGGGTTTGGTTTGGTTTTGCTTGGGGTCTCGCTCCTGTAGGGCCACGGTTTCTTTTGGCTTGGCTTAGGGCCTTGCCTCTTTAGGATGTCTGTGGGTTAGACTTAGGCCTTCACCACCACCCCCTGAAAAAAAGAACGCTTCTCAGAAACCAGTCCCCAGAAACCACTTCCCAGAAACCAGTCACCAGAAACCAGTCTCCAGAACCACTTCCCAGAAACCACTTCCCACAAACCACTTCCCAAAAACCACTTCCCAGAA